GCAGAGCCAGACCGAACTTCCCGACCTCAAACTTTGTGGGCGGGACTAAGTTCGGACTGGCACCCAGGCTAGCTTAGATCCGCCATCAGTTAGAAATATCTCTCATAGTTGAAGTTTACCAATGATGAAAATTACAGACCTCTGATTATTCAGTAGGAGAGCCTTCTGTCAGAGGCTGACTGAATACTTTTTGGCTCCGCTTGGATGTCCCCCCCCCACCCCACCCCTTTAGGGGGCTACACCCCCTATAAAGGACAGTCTCTGCTGTTTACCTCAGAACTTCCTGCTGCAGGTAGAAGAAGCAGGAAGTTTAGCGCTAATTAAACCTTCCTGGAGTCAATTAGCTTCTCCTTCTAGTCGCTTCTCTTTTCTCTGCGTCACATGGAACCATTTAAAATCAGCAGACAGTAATAAAGGTTAAGCCGACCTCCATGCTGAGGCGTCCGTCCTCTGCCGCCGTTCACCCAGAGCTGCAGCTGCAGCAGGCAGCGTCTGACGTCTCCGCCTGAGACTCTGACCAGGCTGCTGGCTTCATCTAAAGGCAGTCGCACGTTTTCAGCCAGACACACCAGCTGCAGGAAGCTGCACACGTTCAGCTTTAAAGGACAGAAGCTAGAGATGATTTATCCCGCAGTCAGAGTTCTCTCCTGCAGACATGCATGCTGGGAAAACGCGCCCAGTGACTCACCGCTGATGGCGTCTTGAAAACGATTTTGTCCAGGTAACCATGGAAACTCTGTCTGAATGAGCGATCTGAGGAAAACGAGAATCTCAGCGTGAATTTAACTGCATCCAGACCAACAGTTTGAGCCCCAATCCCACAGCCTCCACTCCGGGTCCCTGAGCAAGACCCTTAACCTCACACTGCTCCCCGGGCGCCGCACAATGGCCGCCCACTGATCCCCGAGGGGAGGGGTTACAAGCAGAGAGGCAGTTTTTCCAGGGTGGGATTAATAAAACTATTTATTTTATATTTCAGTTTCTGACCAGATCCAAAGAATAAAACATGGCGGCTATGGGAAGCAAAGAGGGACATTTAGCAGGTTATTATTTATTGCAGCCGTCTACATTTAAATTATTTATAAGAAATGTGTAATTATAATAATAAGCTAATAAATCTTTGGACATTTATTACATTTTTGTTTTAGTTCAGTTTTAAAGCTCAGCAGGAGGTGAAGATGGTTTCCATGGAGCTTTATTCCTAACCAGAAACTAAATGAAACTTACCAGCGGTTGTCAGGACGACCGGCCGTTTGGTGGTGGTCAGGAAAGCCTTAATGGCTGCCAGGAAACCCACGTCAGCCTCAAACACCACATCCACCTGTCAGAGCGGGACGCGTCAAATAAGAACCAACCACGACTTCAAGTCATCCATAAAGCAACGTTTCACCTCCTCAAACAGGATGAGGGACATGGCCGCCGCCGGCCTCCCGCTGGGCGCCGCCGGCCTCCCGCTGGGCGCCGCCGGCCTTCCAGCTTCCTCCATCTTTGGCTTTCTAGTCGGACCTGCTTCTCGCTTCG